CTGCTAAAAAAATCATTCAAATAATTAGCAGTTTCTTCAGGTTTTGTCATATGAGTACCTTCACAGTCAATTGAAGCAGGTTGTGAGGACTTCTGTCTTCCCATTATATTATTTAATACCTTCCAAAGCTTCTTCCCATCTTTCTTCTTACTACTTAACTGTAATGTATAATACTGCTTCTTTTTCTTTTTATTAAGACCTGTGATATAATTTCTCAATTTACAATATTTCTGTCTATCCGTTACACTACCAGTTTTTTTTTTTTTTTGCTGTTCTCATCGCCTTGTCTCTCTGAGCCATATATCCTTTAATTCGCTATCAATCCAGGATGCTCTACAATCTTTTATAATGAATTTCTTAACAGGCGCATGATTATCAATAACTGGCTGAAATTTTCTAATAAATAATTCAAGTGCATCGTTTGGTTCTTCTACACCATAAATCTCTGACCACTTTATATTACCAATATCTTTGGTAATATAAAGTAAGGTAAGCTTCCTGGGAAAACCTCCTATATGACCTTTTATACACAATTTTTTGCTTAGCTTTTGGATATTTTGTTTTTCCTTGCAATCACAACTATATTGTGATTTGTGATCACTACAACCTACTTGGACTGATATCGCTGTCGTATACAAATCTTCATTGCTCAAATAAATATGATCTATACAAGATGATGTGAACTTGCCCTTATTATTTATGCTTATTCTCGTTAGTTGTCTAACCATCTGTTTCAATCCATATGCATCTATTATATTTACCAATTGATTCTTTAAAAAGCACTCATGTACTAACTAGGGCTGCACGATAAATCGAATGCGATTGTCATGTGCATTTTGTTAGTAAAGCCGGTTCTGTAATCAGCAGTAAATCATCATCATGTGCTTTCAGATGGAGCAGCATTTACTACACAGAGCCGTAGTTCACTGACAAGTTACGCAAAAAAATCGCAGACGGTTTTATTGCGCGATTATGAAATCGAAGAAATCGTTTGCGATAACATCCCTTCTATTTAAATTATATTCACTTATAGACACAGCATTGTCATCAAATGTCTCATCCAAATGAGTCAGATATAGCAACAATATTAATTGTGTTTGACAGCAACAAATCGGCAACTTCATGTACTTTGTTCCTCAAACTACAAATATTCAAATGAGCAAACTTTACATATTTATTGGCAATAAAACGGCAATAGACATATCACATCACACCTTGATCCTTGTCAAATCCTCACATGTTCTCCTTTGCTTGCCGCCTATGAACAATGAGTATATCGTACCTTAAGAAAGCAATGTCCCCTCTTTCTCTTGCAGCTTTCATTTTAGCAATCAGTTCCTTTCTCCTCTTTCGAAACCGATTCAGGATATTCCTCGTTTATACAAATATTCGAACCCTTCAGCTTTCTCGCGTTGGCATCACTCGATCTCTGTCCTTGATTCTTAAAAACGACACCATTGTTGGGCGAGGCCAACTCCGGATTTCATCCTTTAGGCCTACTTTAAGAACTCGTTGAACTTTCTGTATACTGATGGTGAGTGGGTCCAGGTCCAATTTATCCTTAAAAAGAGCCAACACCATCTCTTCGGAGTCTGAAACCTTTTCATTCTCAGCTACAGGAATTCCATCAATAATCACATTCTGACGTCTGGTCTGTGCATCTAGAAAGTCTGTTTTCCCATCTATCACCAACATCGATTCCGCCAGTTTTTGTATGTCGTCTTCATTTGATTTACAATTAGACGACAAACTTACACTTGACGCTTTTAAATCGTCCACCTCCTTTTGTGTAAATTGGAGGCTAACTTTTAACTCCTGCAGCTCTTTCAAAATAGTCTGTTGCTCCATCAATTCACGCACCTGTTCATGTGTGATGTACTGTCCAGAGTCTTTCTCTTTATCCTTATGACCAGCCATGCTTTCCCACAGGCAACAAACACAAGGTATTGGCGCCGAACTTTACTTCACTCCGCTGTGCTTCAAAGCGATACAATGTATCGTAGAGTTAAACGTCTATAGCTTGATGTAAAACGTCTATAACTTGATGTAAAATCGTTTTATATTTGATTTTTTTTAGCGTCTTCTGGAGTAAGATCAGAACAGGTGTGACGCACACAGGTGTGATCTATCTATTTTTCATTTTTCAATAATTTAATTTCATTTTATTGATTTTGTCATGTACATTTGTCTTTTTTTAATATTTCTGTGTAGCTATAATTCAGTTTTATTTTAGTTTTCAGTTTTTAGTACTTACATTTTGATTTATTTCAGTTAGCTGCCAAGGCAGCATTTCTAATTTGTAAAGTTTTTAAGATAAAGAGTTTAAAGAGTTAAGAATAAGTTTTTCTTCTAATATTTTATTTTATTTTATTCAGCTTTGTGTATTAACAAAAATAGTTTTAATACTTTCCGTTTTAAAGGAATAGTTCACTCAAAAAAGAAAATTCTGTCATTAATTACTCACCCTCATGTCGTTCCAAACCCGTAAGACCTTCGTTCATCTTCGGAACACAAATGAAGATATTTTTGATGAAATCCGAGAGCTCTCTGACCCTCCATAGACAGCAACACACTGCAATGTTCCCAGGTCCAGAAACGTAGCAAGGAGATCGGTAAAATAGTCCATGTGACATCAGGGGTTCAACCGCTATTTTACAAAGCTACGAGAATACTTTTTGTGCGCAAAGAAAACAAAAATAACGACTTAAACAATTCTTCTCCTCATCCCGTCTGCGGCGGTGCACCGCCATTGTGGAAAGAGTTTTACGATGTTTGCTTCCGCTTCATGTAAACAACGCATGCGCGTGCTGACACATGTGCGAGTTAACGTAAGCAGTAGCGCCACGTGCATGCGTTGTGTCAGATTTCATCAAAAATATCTTAATTAGTGTTCCTAAGATGAACAAAGGTCTTACGGGTTTGGAACGACATGAGGGTGAGTAATTAATTCCCTTTAATTGTCAATAACAACACTGACTGTTTTGGACTTCTATATGTAACATTGTTCTGATTCATACTGTTGTTTATCAGAGCATGTAAATGAGCTCCTGATGTTGTATGTGGCAGTACTCTGTGGTGCGGATCGTAAGAGAGAAGATGTTGAGGACAGAGGCTTTCTCAGACCCTGAACAGCTGCAAGCGTTCCTGAGTCAGTTATACGTGTTCCTGGTGGACGAGATGCATGCTGCTCTTAATAAGGTGATGTCTCAATAAAATCATTTCTGTTATTTGTTAGGGGAAGCATTACTGCTACTCATACTGAGGCTTACTTATCTGAACAAACCGTTAACCTTTATTATTAAGCCCTGGTGCTTTATTAGTGTCTGTATTATCAGTCTGTGTTTTTCATGCACTGATTCAGACTCTGTCAGTGGACTCTCAGGACGCTCATCAGGAGCCTGTCCTGAGCTGTGCTCAACTCAAACACTTCGCCAGAGAGGCCGAACTCAACACAGACTACCAGCTGGCAGCACAGTACTATCAGGAGGTGAAGCATCACAGCTCTTCTGCTGCTTTAACATACTATCATACTAGATTCCCTCTCTACCCATCCTAATAATGTACACAGCATGCTTTTCACAGTAGTTTATAATACAGTGTAAAGTGCATTATTCATTGTAGTATATACAAGTATATACATTGTTTCATACTGAGTCATATTTACCCATAAATAAAAATTAATATATACGAATATATATATAGTGACATTATTTTAATGACATTTGCATTACTGTAATGAGAAAAATTAATCATATATTATTTAATAAAAATAATGTATCAAGTAAATAAAGTAATATATACTGTATACATACATTATGACAGTATTTTCTATAATGCATTTAATTTATGCTGATTTATTCATTCAGAATAGTGAAAATTCAAAACAAAACAAAAAACACTCTAAAACAAAAGCTAAACTCCTGGAGGAATTAATGAGAACTGGGGTGGTGATAATAATGCACTCATAATAGTAAAAATCATACATTTTTCAAAAGATCAAATGGGCATTGCAAGCATTTATGGATGAAAGCATTGCAAATCTAAAATCTGTTTGCGTTTTACAGTGTTTAGGGTGCATTGTAAACTACATAATTGTTTATAATCCATTAAACAACATGTCTGGGTCATATTTCACCCACAAATGAAAACAAAGCAATAAAATATGACATTTATTCTGAAATAAAAAAGCTATTTTAGCAACATTAAATGTTGGCATAGTGACATTATTCTATGACAATTAAGCACCCCACTCTCATTATTGTAATGTGAAAAATACTGATATTATTTAAAATACAGTAAGTCTTTACATTTACATTTATTTAAAAGACACCTTTATCTAAAGCCACTTATTTATTAACTAAATTAAGTATAATATATATACATAATGGTAAGATTTGCTGTACTGTCTTTAATTTATGCTGATTTAAAAAGCAAACAAACATTGTGTTACAGTAATGTTAGAATGATAACCATAATGAGAAGTACAAAATAAGAAGAAGTACAAAAACCCCTCAAAAGTCCCTGGATGTTAATGTAATGTAAATTGCAATCACACGGGCATTTCAAGCATGAATGCACTGTATTTTGTGAAAACTGTAGGATGCAATTATAGTATCTCATGCATATACAATGAATCCCTTTGAAATGGCACGTTCTAATGACAGTGTGCTATTTCAAACTCATCATTTGTGACATGCCAGTATCATTGGATGTGAGTCACGTCTCTCTGTAGTGTTTGATTCAAGAGCGCAGCAAGCCGTCGCACTGGTGTGATTATGGAGCGTTTCACATGCTGACCGCTGACCACCTGAAGGCAGAGGAGTGCTTTCAACAGGCCTTATCCATCCAGCAAACACACATACCGAGGTCAGCAGACACAAATTACTCAGACTAGATTTCTAAACGAGTGCTTTGACTCATTCTTCTGTTGTGTTCGGTGCAGTTTGCTCATGTGCGGCGTGCTGTCAGAGATGAACGGACGCTATGAGGACGCCGAGACCTTCTTTGAAAGGGCGACTTGTGTGGAGCCCAACAATGTGGTCGCCTGGGCTTTGTTTGGTGAGAATAGATTATACAGTAAATAAAAATTTGGGGTTAGTTCGATTTGTATAGATAGAAGAAATTAATATTTTTATTCATCAAGGATTTAATAAATTGATCAAAAATGAAAGTAAAGACATTTACAATGTTGCAATAGATTTCTATTTTTAAAAAATGCTGTCCTTTTGGACTTTCTATTCATACAAAGAAAAAAAATCCTGAAAAAAAGGTTTCGACAAAAAATGTGAAGAAGATAATAATCAGAAATGTTTTTTGAGCATCAAATCAGAATATTAGAATGATTTCTGAAGGATCATGTGACACTGAAGCCTGGAGTAATGATGCTGAAAATTCAGCTTTATATCACAGGAATAAATCACATTTTAAAATATATTAATATTAAAATAGAAAACAGTTATTTGAAATTGTAACAATATTTCACAATTTTACTGTTTTTACTGTATTTTTGGTCAAATAAATGCAGCCTTGGTGAGCAGAAGAGACTTCTTTCAAAAACATCTTACCCCAAACTTTTAACAGGGTTCCCACGGGTCCTTGAAAGTTTGTGAATCTGCAAAAAAATTTTCAAGGCCCTGGAAAGTTTTTGAAAATAAGCGTACATAGATAAAGGTCCTTGAAAGTGCTTGAATTTATTTTGTGCAAGAAGTTTTCTGGAAAAAATTCCATATTATTCCCTCCGGTCCGCTAATGTGTTATTTCGCCAACACTTCGTGGCCTATGCATACTAGCTTGCTTGATTTACGTTAGTTACGCGCATTTTACGCGTTACGTTATGTGTTTCCTGCGTGAGATACTTTGTGTTGTATATGGCAAGCCAAAAGAGTCAGAATTAAATTTATGCCGTTAAATACAGCGTTTTTTACCATTTAAGTGCATTTTTTACGGTGTCTGCTATCAGGACGGCGTATTTGATGGCGCTAATGCTGTTTTGTATGTAAAAGCGATTTATCTAAAGCGTAATTATGACTCTTTTGGCTTGCCATAGTTGTACGTTGCCATGACGTTCACGCGTGCACTACTACAATGGTACCTTAACGTTTCACTGACACACTGTGAAATTAATGTTAGCGTTTTTTACCATTTAAGTGCATTTTTTACGGTGTCTGCTATCAGGACGGCGTATTTGATGGCACTAATGCTGTTTTGTATATAAAAGCGATTTATCTAAAGCGTAATTATGACTCTTTTGGCTTGCCATAGTTGTACGTTGCCATGACGTTCACGCGTGCACTACTACAATGGTAGTGTCATGGCCAAAAATAAAAGCAAAAAAAAAAAAAAAAAGCTTTTTTGCATAGTTGTGTTTGACACATGAAAACTGTAACAATGTATCTTACAAGGTAACACAGTGTAACCTTGCTCTCACTTGAAATGTGTCCCCACATTAAGTCCTTGAATTTGAGGGTATTGGACCTGGAAAATCCTTGAAAGGTCCTTGAATTTTAAGTTAACCAAGGTGTGGGAACTCTATTTTAAAACAGTAAGTGTTTTTCTTCAATAGTATACTATATTCATTCATTTAAGTTTATTTTACTCTGACCGCAACAGGATATAATTTTAGTTTGCTAAATTTTTTTTACATTTTATTTTTCAAAATGATGAAAATGTGTGTCCTCAGGTATATTCTGCCAGACTCAGGAGAAGTGCATAGAGGCAGAAATGGCTTTTCGGGAAGCCAATAAGCAGCTTAATGCAGTCCTGCTGAATGAATCAGCATCTAGAGCAGAAATAACCTCAGAGACTCAGTCTGGTCAGAAGAAGGACCAGAAAGATGAAAGCAGTGAGACTCCAGCTGGAAACACAGAGGAGACAGGTGACCACCTCATGTCCATCTGCTCTGTGACAAAAGCTTTTCATTTATAGCTGATCTGGGATCATTTGCTTTAAAGGTGGCAATACAGATGAAGCCGATGCTGTGCATGAAGAAGACCAGCCACAGAATGACCAGGAGAGCAAACAGGAAGTACAACAGCAAATTCCCCCAACCAGCGTCCAGACCACTATCTACATGGAGACAGTGTGGTTTCTCCTGCAGAACTACGCATTACAGGTCACAGCAGTTACATTAAAGGAGACATTTGTTTTCACCTGAGATCTACTTAGAAGGTTTCTTGCACCAAAAACAAGCATAATTTAGTGTTTATGGCTATTTTATACACACACACACACACACACACTCTCTCTCTCCCTCAGACCCTTTGTTGAAAAGGCCGTTTTTGCTGCTGTTCCTTTAAGACTTCTTTATGTAAATGGCTTACACTACCATTCAAAAGTTTAGTGTCCGAAAATACTTTTAATGTTTCTGAAATAAGTCTCATCAATTTGACCAAAAAAATACAGTAAAAACAGTAATATTGTTAAATATTATTTCTATTTAAAACAACAGTTTTCTATTTGAATATATTTTAAAGTGTAATTTATTCCCGTGATGCAAAGCTGAATTTGTGTGTCACATGATCCTCCAGAAATCAGTCTAATATGATGATTTGCTGCGCAAGAAACATTTATTATTATTATCAAAGCTGAAAAGATGTGCTGCTTCATAGAAAACTGACTTTTTCCAGATTTTTCGATGAATAGAAAGTTCAAAAGAACATTTATTCAAAACAGAAATCTTTTGTAACATTATAAATGCCTTTGCTGTCGCTTTTGATCAATTTAATGCGCCCTTGCTGAATAAATGTATTCATTTCTTTAAAAAAACAACAACGTTCCAACCCCAAACTTTCATATATTCTACGTTCAAATATTCTGTAGGTTATTAAAGCAATAAGCCCCAAGAAGCCGTGGTTTAAAGTGAATTTATAACAGCTAAGGGGCATTGTTAGGCACGACGCGAAGCGGAGTCCGTATAAACTGTATAAAACGGTTATTCCATATATATAGTAATGTTTCACAAAATAAAACAGAGCAAATAAAGTGTAATGATAATAAAAACTGCGTGCCTGCAAACGCTCGCCGTCATGTCTTACTTGGCTCAGACTGGGAATCGCCTGCTATAGAGTGAGTACAAACCCATAATGCATTTAGAAAAGCTGGACGTCTCTGGCTTGTAGCTTGTCAGCGTAAAGCAGGAGAGCTTTGCTGGAGCCACAGTAGAAGGAGAGTTTGTGATTGGTTGAAGTCAGAATTGACCCTAGTTACCTATTCCTTCTCTTTTTGTGAAGATGCATGTCATTTCAAAGAAAAAAATATACATCCAATTCATATGAATATCAGTTGTTACTCTATATCTGCAACATTGTCTTAGTAAGATGATATTCAAATGCTTAGGTTTATGATCAAAGCTCTGTAGTTTCGAAGCATTTAAATGCAGCGTAATACAAGGATGACTGACAGATGACCAAATAAACATTCCCTAACAAGCTTGATGATCATATTTGATGCATTTTAACATGATTTTTCTAAAGAATGATGATGATAATCAAGCTAAGTTGTTTCAGTCCAGTAAGTGTTCATCTTGAAATATTACTAACAACATAAAAGTTATTCTTATGTTTACTTTATAAAAATCAGTAGAGACCCAATCAAGCAAACAGACACGCGAAGCAAGACCTGAAGGTGGACGTTTTTACAAATATACTGTACAAAAAGACCTTTTACTTGCTAAAAAAGTATAAACTATGAATCAGACAACAGGTTTTTCAGCAAGGTTTTAAACAAGTTGATCATTTCGAGGCCTTAGAAAGTCTCTTAGCCCAACTTTTTGCTCTTGCAATCGCTTAAATTGTGCATTTACATCTCCATCTCCGTTATAAAAAGACATCGCTGTCGGCCGCTTCAGAGTTCCTGCTGCCGGTGCGAATGCAACCAGGAAAACGGCCCGAGGGAGAAATTGGTTCTCTAGGAACTACCCTGCTGACTAGTTCCTAGAACTAAGTTCCTAGAACTACACGGTGCGAAAGCCCCTATTTGTTCCCTCGCTTTGCACTTATTTCTTTACACTTCTTCACACAAAGCAGCCATCATTTACTCTCCCTCAATGTCATTCTAAGCCTGTGTGAGTTTCTTTCTTCTGTGGTACACAAAAGAAGATATTTTGAAGAATGTTGGTAACCAAATGTTTTCAGGTCCTATTGACTTCCATATTATGGACAAAATATACTATGGAAGTCAATGGGAAACGAAACGGTTCTTCACACACTGGATCAACAGAAGCATTATTTTGACTTTAGTTGCTTTGTCCTTTCAGACCGGCAGAAAACTAGAGGCAGAGCAGTCATATAAATATGCCCTAAAGGTTTGTACTGTTTAATGTCAATGTGTTTGTGAAGTCTGTGGTATCAAAATTCAGTTTTGACCTCTTATAAGTTTCGTTTTTTTAGATGAATTTGCAAGAGGAGTCACTTCTAGAGGAGATTCACGAGCTGCAGTCACGTGTTGGGTTTGGGAACCCTTCCTTCTGATCTGTCTTATCCACATAAATGTCATTTTCAACTATAAAAAGGTTCATTGTTTAATCCTAATAATAAAAAAGGTGTAAATGATAATAAAATATGATTTGAACCATAATCAGCTATAGTCTTTTTTTGTTTGTTTTTGTTTTGGCCTTGTTGAAAATGGCTTCACATTTAAGGTTCACTCCAATGGTAACAATAAATGTACAATATACAGTATTAATATTATTAAAACTATACAGTTTTAATAATCGTTTTAACTCTGTGAGAATAGGGAAGTCCACACCACAACTACCACAGAGGAATGATATTGAAATCACTTTCAGATCAGTTATTTCCAACTAATAAATGATAAAAAACACTGTCAGCCAATCGGAATCTGTCAGACTTTAAAGGGTGTTATCGTCTGTTCAGGGATCAAACAAAAACACAACATAATTACTAAAACGTCACATAAAATGAAAGTGAAAACAGGAAAAATAAAAGCTCAGTCAAAATATTTACAAAAATATTAATAATATATCTCTGATGCTAAAAAAAATACTGCGCCTGTTAGTGTGGACACTAATATAGTTATCGCTATAATTTCCGAGCCTTTTTACATTAGGTTGTAAAAATGTACACATTTAATATGCACTAGGGATGTAACGGTATGAAAATTTCATATCACGATTATAGTGACCAAAGTTATCACGATTATCAATATTATCACGGTTTTGTTCAAATTAGATGAAAACGTTCAAAAAGAACTGATACACACACTGAAAACATTTCAATAAGTTTTATATTTGAAAATCAACAAACTATCATGATTTATCGTAAAACCGGTAATCGTTACATCCCTAATATGCACAAACCAGAATGACAATGATAAAACTGAAAGATTGAGAAATGCATATAGATATGTTCAGAATTCTACCTTTCCATACTCAAATGTGCTAAACTGTGCAGTAAATTAGCAGTGCACTGTGCTTTATCGTCCACTGATGAGTGAACCAGATTTATTTCTCAATATTTGATCTGACTGCCAAAAGTAAAGAAATGTTATACAAAAAAAAAAAAAATCTTTACATGGCAGACAACAGACAGTAGTGTTCATCTAAATTCCATTATCATGTATAAAACCTCAACAGTTTTCAAAAACAAAAATAAATCTCTATATTATATATAACACAATAAAACTTGCCTTCACATGTACCATGGTATCCAGTAGGAGCAAAACAAAAACTTGCCAGAAGACACCTGTATTTCGAATATATATGAAGAACACAACAAATGAGACGATAAATCTGAGTGATGAATCATATTAAGGTACTTTATTAAACAACTAAACTGAATCAAAGTGATAATTGGCAACAAGTCAGAAATCCATTTTTCACAATTATTTTCTTTGATTGAACAGAAACAAGAAGTTACACAAGGTTACATCCTCATAGTCTGCAGGGGTCTTTCTTTTGGTCTATCCATGAACACGACTGCCCCATGTGTAGGTCAGGTACATCAGAACCATGAGTGGTGCAACCTTGAATATAGATGTTATGAATGGTCTCCAAACGTTTGGGATTCCCTTAGAAAAGTAGTTTGGGAAAGCCCTCTTCTCAAAGGGAGAAATACTGTAATTGATCACATGCCTTATCTTGGCCAGATCTCCGAAGTGACGACCGATTGTTCCAAGAAAGCTGATCTCACTGCACTTTGACACCCTTGGATTCACATTAAACTGTTTTTCTCACCAAAAAAAAAAAGGCTTGAATTTAATGGTCGCTGCGCCTTTAAGCATCAGCTCTGACAGACACGTGGTTTCATCCGGCAGCTTCCTGCTTATTGAGTTCATAACGGAGAGCCTGAGCTCCGCAGACAAAAGCAACGAGAATCCGACTAATGATCATTTCTATAATCAGTTACCAGTCTGTTATCATTCCTACAGCCTGATCGGACCAATTACTATTATCATTATAATCTGATCTAACGCAGGATTCGCTGAAGAGCTGGATCGTAAGTACTGGTTTCAGTTCTCAAGTATGCAAATGGGGGCGCATACTTGTGCTATATGCGTGCTAGTGTGTTACATCGATGTCTAACGTCAGCACTAGTTCATTTGTATAATGACAGCTGATTATTTTGTTCTGCTTGTGCATTTAAATGGATGCTGATCACAGGACAGTGAGATTAGTGGCACTTTCTCTGGCAAACACCAGAACGCTTATGACTGCTCTTTTGTTGGGACTGCACACATCTGTGTTTTCATTTTCCCTGCAAACAAACGCTGTTGAACCGCCTCAGTGTGTGTGTGTGTGTGTGTGTGTGTGTGTGTGTGTGTGTCCTCAGGAACTCAGCTGTTGTGATCTCTAACAATCATCTGTAGCAGTTACAGTCACTGACCGTTCAAGCTCGGGAGGTAGAGGTAAGAGGTTTTGTTGTTTACATTTCAGTGAATTATGTTTTCTTCACAAACTTTGGAGACTTTAAATCAGTTCAGAGCTGCTCATATCACATTTCCATAATGACATTGAAAACATGAGATGGCCTTTTAGGAGGTAATACTTCAAATCTAATCAAATAGATTAGAGAATTGTTTTTACGTAATGAAAAGGATGAATGAGTTTTCTAATGTGTGTTATGTTGATTGTGTTGAACTGAAATTTGCCTAGATAAATAGGTAGAGAGAGAGGCTAGAATCAGATGATAGTTATTTTTACTATTATTAATTTACTATGATTGTATTTATTAATATTTTGAATTAGTTTTTAAGTTTTCATTTTAATTTAATTTAAGATTAAGTTTGAGTAATTTTGTTATGTGCTTTTGTCATTTTTCATTAAATATTTTTTTTAAATTGTCATTTGTCAATTGTCATTTTTAAATATTTTGATTTATCTTTATTTTTATTTCATTTTTTATTGTTTTATATTTTATTTGATTTATCTTTTAAATAATTTTAGGATTTATACCTAAGCTTAAGTTATTTGCCAAGGCAACATTTTTAGGTATTTATTTATTTAACTTTTTAAATTTTTTCATCAAACAGTTCTATTTTATTTTACTTAATTTACTGAAATCAGTTTTAACAGTTTTAGTTAATAGCATAGATAGATAGATAGATAAAATGGTAGATAGATGGATAGATAGACAGACAGACAGACAGATAGATAGATGGATAGATTGGTAGATAGATAGATAAAATGGTAGATAGATGGATTGGTAGATAGATAGATAGATAGATAGATAGATAGATAAAATGGTAGATAGATAGAACGGTAGATAGATAGAACGATAGATAGATAAAATGGTAGATAGATAGACAGATAGATGGATAAAACGATAGATAGATAGATAGATAGATAGATAGATAGATAGATAAAATGGTAGATAAAATGGTAGATAGATAGAACGGTAGATAGATAGAACGATAGATAGATAAAATGGTAGATAGATAGACAGATAGATGGATAAAACGATAGATAAATGGATAGATAGATAGAATGGTAGATAGATAGACAGATAGATAAAATGATAGAACGATAGATAGATAGATAGATAGATAGATGATAGATAGATAGATAAAACGATAGAACGATCGATAGATAGACAGATAGATAAAATGATAGAACGATAGATAGATAGATGATAGATAGATTATTGATCCAGTGTGTGAAATTGAGAGAGTTTGCCAGTTAAAAACAGTCAAATTTTTTAATAAATGAGTTTAAATATGTGTTTGAGATCAAAGGGATGTGTTGATGTGTAGATATCAATTTTCAGAAACAGGAAGATGATCTGTGTGTGTAACAGGAAAGCGTCTGGCGTGTTGTTGTGAATGTGTTTGAGCAGTTAGAGGTCAGATCCACACAAGCCGCTAGAATGAGTGCTATGAGGACAGAAGATGCTGCTGACGGGACGAGCACAGCTAATGGAGGAGGAGTCGTGTGTCAGGAGGGAGGCGTCACCGTCCTCAGGTACACCAGACACTCGAGAGCGCTTCCTCTGAGAACATGCTTGAGTTGTGTTCAGTGCAGTGCTGTTATTAACAGAAACTAATAAAACTGGTTTTCGTTAATTGAAATAAAGCGCAAATAAATCAAAATCTAAATATTAGATGAATAACTCATTTATATTATTATATAAAAATAAATGCTAATTCAAAACACTGATAAATACTATACTAGTATATAAATAATACTAAAATAACAGTTTAGTTTCAGTGCTTGTTTCATTACCGAACCCTGAATGTCATCTGATCCCTACAGGCCTACAGATCTCTCAGAGATGTTGGCGGCAGGAACCAAAGAAGTTCACGAGAAGGCCGAAAACACAGAGTTTGTCAAAGACTTCCTGAGGGGACGCATCCGCAAAGAGCTCTTTAAGGCACATGGATTTTAAAGACCATTTAGAAATGCCATTCACAACACATTTCACTTTCATAATGTGGCAAATAATGTGCTGGGATCTGATTTATTACTTTATCATATTAAACTTAGGAATGTATTACTTTTGATGTATGTCTTTTGTCTGGCGGACGATAAACTAGGGGGGAAAACCCTTATACTTATAATGATAGACTTGGAATAGTTAGCGTCCACATACCCAGGGTTATTATTGTTAACTACAACTAAAAATAAAACAATAAAATAAAACATTTTCGTTACCTGAAATAAAATAAATGTGAACTGAAATAATAAAATAATAAATATAATATATTAAAATAAAGCAATAAGCCCCAAGAAGCCGTGGTTTACAGTGAATTTATAACAGCTAAGGGGCGTTGTTAGGCACGACGCGAAGCGGATTATTGCTTTTATAAAACGATTATTCCATATATATATAGTACGGTTTCACAAAATAAAACAACATAAAGCAAATAAAGTGTAATGATAATAAAAACAGTATTCTTCCGCCAAACAATGTAGTTCCTCAGAAACAGTTGTGGTTGCAATAAAGTGGTTGCCGAGCAACAGACAAACGTAAACAAAGGTGTATGTTTGTAGAGTAATTTACAACTGCTCTGAACGTGGCTCAACCAATCAGAATCAAGGACCGGAACTAT